TGCATGCCTGATTATTTATCAATTTTCAAACGAGCAAGATCGAAAAAAGCAATAACTGTTGAAGGTAATTCGTTCATTAAAACGCCCTACAAAACGAAAGAATTTAAATACAACGAATTTTACGATTTAAAAAAAATTAGCTGATGAAACTGTTTTCAATCGCTCAAAAGATAATAATGGAAATCAAGTGAAGTGGCTCAAAATAAAGAGAATACGTTATCTTCAGGAAGAGAGCTCCAAAATTATTTTAATTATGACATGTCTGAAACGTTCTTATACATCGATGTCTCAAAAATACGGAACCTTCTCAACATCTCAGTACTAGAGCTAAAAAACGCAAAGAAACCACTACGCCTCAGACTATTGTCTTAAAACACCTTTACTTGAACCCTTTACCCATAAGTGAAGCTAAAAAGAGAGATCTTCTAAGTTTATGTACTAAAAAAATAATTCCCGAGGAATGCCATGGTTGGTACTCTTCTCTACCAACTGCAACCAATCAAGCAGATCATTTACCTGAACTTTCGATTGACGAAGAGTCATCAAAAGATTAAGATCCTTAATGGAATTAAAAGCCTTTACCTAAAAGGATTCGTTTTAATTAATTGACTTTTATTGTTCTTCATTAGTGATCGGAGCTTGATTTCCATAATTATGTGTTAAGGAATAAAATTGGTTGAAGTTTTATTTATTATAGTTTCATAAATTACCAATGTAAAAATTAAATTATTTTTATTTAATTGATCACTTTTGTATAATGTTTATAGTACCTAATAAGTGACATAATTACACTAAAATTCTACAGGCAAAACAAGTTAAAAGTATCAAAATTATCATTATTTAAGCGAATTTTCAAAAAAAAAAATCTTTCCTATCAAGCTATTGGTGTAAAATACAATAATCCATTATATAAAACTGAAATGAGCTTTTAAAGTCAATGAATTCAGAAGATATATCACGTTTATTAAGTACAGGTAAAACATTAAATGCGGTCCTCTTTCGATCTTAATTAAATTTTATACAATTTTTACTAATATTAAATGTTATATAAGAGTAAATTTTAAAAGAAGGGTTGTTAGTGCAAAATTATGCTTAAACAATTTTTTTATTCATGAGTTTGAAATAGATCAAATTAAAACTTAAACTTTGAAAAGTCATTTACTCGAATTGACACTAACTGCACTTATTACTTTTTACCCGTAAGCAGACGATATATATATATTTAAATCTCTTTGGTGTACAATCATTAAAGTTACATGATAGTTAACAAAACAAAACAAATTAGAAAAAAATTTGCAGTAGCAATCACCTCACTCCCAGAAGTTATTATCATCTACAAATTCCTTAATATTATAATAACACTTTTTTATAAAAACTTTGTTTAATAAAGTTTTTGAACTTGGTGGATGTCAGATTTTGTATAAGAAAGGAGAAAGAAAGAAAATAAGTTTATGTTGTACCAAATTTTAGTAACTTGTTTAAAAATATAAAAATAGCATAATATAAATTGGATAAATGGTTACTAAAAGGCATCCAACTCAGCATAGTCCTTATATGCCGATGTACCATAGGTGCCAATTAACAAAAACTAAACTTAAGAATATTCATTATTATTTATTATACAGTTACTAATTCAATATGCACACAAATATTTATAAATTATCATATACATATGTATAATTAATAAATATAATAAAAGTAGCAACTTCTTAAATAAAATTAAAAAGAAATGAAAAAACAGAATAGAAAAGTATGTATTACAGTATATAATTTTCATAAGTTGACTTGAATATTTAATAAGTATTTCTTGTAATTATATTTTAACGAACCGATTAAAGCTACATTTATATGCTATATCATTTCGTGGCAGAATAATTTTTTTAAACTTCACGAAATTTGGCGGCTGGGATTAATCCGAACAATTCCTCAGAGCACTCTCCATGGTATATGCGGAAGAAAATGCAAAGAGATGCAACATCTCTTCGCAGTTTCAGTGAATCGAGCCGATCAGAAAGCACTCGGTCGTCGAAGATTCGAGCCGCTCTGCGCTGGATGCGGTCAAGTGGAAGGAGCTGGTACTGGGGAGCCCCAGCAACAGTATTCCATGTGCGGCCGAACCTGCGCCTTGTAAAGTTGCAGGCGGTGTGCCGGCATGAAATACTGTCCCGCTCTGCTGAGCACGCCAAGCTTTTTAGAGGCTAATTTGGCCTTCTCTTCCAAGTGACCACGAAACTGCACGTCACTCGATAGGTCAACGTCGAGGATTCCGATACTGGGAGTGCCTTGAAACTGAGGAGATACGACAAAGGGGTTCTTTTTAGCGGTTAAAGCGCAAGCTCGTGTCTTCTGGGGGTTAAACTGGACTAGATTTAGTCGCCCCCAATCCGAGGCTCTGTTCAGCAAAGACTACTTCAGACACAAGTTTGTCCCGGCACTCGGAGACGTTTTCTCGACAAATATTGGCTCGGCCGGTGTAAAAAACATCACCAGTGCTGTCATCTGCATAGCAATGAATGTTACGGGTTTGCAACATATGATAATGTTAAGTAGAGGTGTGAGACATAAGATAAGATTCTCGGCCTACTACACAGCAGGTTCTCCATTGCCAGCTTTTAAATTAGAGTTTAGTAAATTCTTGTCCCACTTTGCCACGGTTGTCGTAAAAAATGACTAAAAATCTCACAGCCTAAGCAATCGACGATCTGTTAAGCTCGGTTATTGCCAATTCTTCCAGTGGCATAGGCTCATGTTTAGCAGTTGATTATGAGGGAATGATAATGAACGAGTGAACACAGGAAATAGAGTAAATGGGGCCCTACACTCTACTGTGAAGAGTCAAAATGTGTCAAAAAAGGCACATATGGCAATTTACAATGCTGTGTTGGTCCCTACTTTAACGTATAGTGGTGAAAGTTGGGTGTGGCAGAAGAAGCACGAGAGTAGAATAAACACAGTAGAAATGTGGTTGTTAAGGCTGAGGAGTTAGGGCTGAATCTGAATGACAGGGTGAGAAATTGTGTGATAAGAGAAGAGTGTGGTTTGCAAGATGATGTTGTGACCAGAATTAAGAAATGGCATGTGGAAAGAGTGACAAAGAAAATTTATGTTGCAGAAGTGAATGGCAGAGTCGGAAAGGGACGTCCTAGGCGGAAATTTATCGGCCAAATTAGCGATTTATTGAAAACGGGCCGAATTAGGAGTACCCTTAACCGACGAGCATGTATGCGTAGGTATATGGACGAAAGAGGTGTGTCAGGATCATGCCAAATGGAAGTCTGTACTCTCTGTCTACCCCTCTGGATAACAGGCGTGAGTGTTTATGTATATGTATATGATAATGAAGATTGTTAGTGGCTGATGATTTTCTATTATCTATTATAGAGCCTTATCTATTAATAACGAATGACGAATTGAGTGACTTATGAAGAGATGGTGTATTTATTAGATTTGAAAGACTAAGTTATTTGTCAGACTTGCTTTAATTTGTAATTTTTGAGACTAGAATGGAATGTCTCAAAGTCTGTAGTAACGCTATTTCACCATAACCTTCAAACCAGAACACTAAGGGTTGTAAGGCTGCTTGATGATAGAAATAAATAATGGTGATCCTACTTGGTCTTTATAGAAATATACCTCTATTATGTTAAATGATGCTTATCTTAATTTCTTCAAAGTAAGAAAATGAAATTTCATTTATCAAAAAGTAATTTTTTTCAAAACTACTACCGTTTCGAAACTAAGTTTCTCTAACAGGAGAAGAAATGATGAAAGAAACTTCGTTGGTATCCTTTATACTTTATCACTCATGAGTTTTGCAGTCATTTTAAGCCCATTATAAAACTGAAACCTATTTGTAATTTCAGGATTATTACTTTATATGACAATCAATTCTTTCTTACAGGGTTATTTCGCAATAACCAACCAAATTTGCAGAGAAGGTTCAACATAAGTAATATAGGCAAATGGAGAAGAAAAATTAAATTCATTATTTTAACTGATTTTACATTTGTAAGGGTCAATCGGTACACATCTAACACACTGTTGCACATAAATCACATTAAATTTGGGTTAATTTCAAATAAAAGTAGAAGCCTTATTTATTTAGTATTTCCAAAAACTACAATAATTATATATCATTATTTATATATTTGAAGTTAAGTTCAAAATTTGGCTACTTTTTGAAAAATAACCCTGTAAGCCTTACTATTTATACTTTATTATTTATAAATCTAAAAAAATGTAAGCTATTATTTACGAAATTTTGACAATGATAATTAGTAGTCAAAGTGACATTTTGTTTTTTTATTAAGACTAATAAGGGGTATGTTCCGAAATACAACACAGTACACTGTCGAATGCGAATGACGTCATTAATTGACGTCGTATTCCACCATATTCGATACAACGAATCACCAATATGGTGTCGATTTATGACGTCATTCGCATTCGACAGTGTACTGTGTTGTATTTCGGAACATACCCTATAATAAAGGCAAAGGTAAAAATGTAAGTGGTGTTGAGCCAACCAAATCATTGAACCATAAGTACAGTGACCAATTTTCATGGGAATGGTCATAGAATAGAAAATATTTTTAATAATCTTTAATTACAATAATGAGATTATGGAAGAAACGAATCTTGATCCTTAATCGAGGATAGATGTTGTACCTATTATAGTGTAAAGAATTCTCTTTCTACCACATGGGCTTACTTCTATGTATATTAAAGAAAATATTGCGTCTTTTTTGTGACACTACAACACGCAATAGTAATATGTGTAGTGCCATAAAATTAAAAGTTGATACTTTTATTATTGGTAGTATATTGGCTAACCGTATAACGTTTAGCCCACCACGACGCTGCGAGTAGCGGATTCAAATCCCGCATAGTATATTTATTTTCATGGCCCACAAATGATTATTCTTACTTTTGATGTTTGAACATGTGCAATTTATGTATGTAATAAAACGTAAATAAAAAATGAAATAAAAAACACTTACCAGTTCCAGAAGTAGCTGTCGTAGCAGTGGGTTTACCAAATGACAGTCCACTGCTAGTCCCAGAAACACCAAACGCACTACTCGTAGTAGTTGCACTGAAACTGATCGCAGATGTAGCTGGCGCCGTCGCGGGTTGGCTGGTCGAAAAACTTGTAGTTGTTGTAGCTGCAGGTACACCAAAACCACTTGGTGCTTGAGCTGTTGATGTTGTTGAAGTACCACCAAAACTGAGACTGGTTGTTTGAGCCGTACTAAGGCTTAAGCCCGCTTGGCTTGTCGGGAATGTTAGCCCAGTCGTGGGCTTTGACGCACCACCCCCACCAAAACTAAGTGTGGATGTAGTTTGCTGGCTTGTTGTTGGTGTGGCTGTTTGTGTTGTTCCAAAGCTTAAGCTTGGTTGGGCTTGACTCGTTGCTTGAGGTTGACTTGTAGCAAAACTGGTTGTTGGTGTTTGTCCTTGATTAATGGAGAAACCAGAAGATATCGTTGTTGTCGTTGTTGTTTGTGGTTGGCCAAAGGAGAAACCTGTTGAAGTTGTTTGCGGTTGGCCGAGCGTGAAACTGGATGTTGCTGGTGTACCAAAAGATGGAGCTGAAATAAATGGTACGAAATTGTTTGTTAGTTAAAAAATATTGTACTAAGTTGTATTGCTAAGCAGTAAAACTCTACACGGTGCGAATATATTAGGTCGGGGAAAAAGTTTCTTTGTATTTAATATACAAATTCAAGACATTTTTTTTCAAAGTTTAATTTCATTTAATTATATTATATGACTTGTTGCCATCTTGTAAGTAGTGACATAATTCCGTTGCTGTAAAAATCTTAAGACTTTTGTTCAAAAAAATGCGACAAATAGTTATGACTGTCATCTCTTGATGTTAACCTAACACTACCCAAAGAATTCTAGAGATCGTAACAGGTGAAAATCTGAGGGTGCAAGGCCAGGAGCCAGGACTATATGGTGGATGCATAAACACTTATCAACCAAGCTCTCATTTTTTTCTGTTTGACCAAATATGTGTGTGGTCTGCCGTTATCATTAATGGTGGTTAATATAGCGCATAGCGCCATATTATAGCGTGCTATCTCTCCGTAACATATAGCGCGTGCTATGTAAGTAGTCGCCATGGCGCTATTGCGCTTTGGTGCTATTAAGTATTAATATCCAGCGGCAACTAGTTCTAGCAGCGGCGCTGTTGGGAGAGGACGTGTGACGCAAATTTGATCTATTCATATACACACACACATATTCACATATCTGCACGCTATTCACCACGCGCGACCTAATTTAGTGTTAGACGTTGTTGAGTTAGTGTATACTGTATATTTATAAGTGATCGAAGGACATAGTTGTCTGCTATAAAAGTATATCAATAGTTGATTTTTACAAATACAATCAATAAACTTTTAAATACACCTTTATTTGATTTATAATTTATATTAAGGTTAAAATAACGTTTACATCAATTATAATAAAAAATAATTAATTTTATTTCGTTTTAAAAAGTGCCTTGCCTTTTGATGCCTTAAAAATATTTTTAGGATTATAGAAAGTCGTAAGACTGAATTGTATCAAAAAGCGTTCATTGGTTTTTCTTAACCGCTTTATTTTATTTTAGTCTAAAATGAGACTTATTACAAAATAATCTTGTTATGTAGCACGCGGTCTATCCAATGAACGACATGTAATATAACGTGCTGCGAGATATAGCGTGCTGCAAAACTTAACGCGCTTGCCGGTCTCCGACACGCTTTCTCATAAATAGCGCGCTAGCAATTTATAGTTTATAGTCTGTAGCGTGCTATTGATTTATACTCGTTTTGAACAACTTTAGATATCATGATGAAAGACTAATCCTTTTCTAATGATCTATTTTGACAGTTTTTTCTCCATTTCTTGCTTGAGTCTCATTATAGTCAACCAAATCTAAGAAATACCTTTTGACAGCTGTCAGACTTGTTGCACCAAGCATGCCAACCAAAAAATGGGAACGTACAATATCAGATTCTTGAAAAAATCGATATCGATTATTTAGAGTTGATAATCATTTGCAGTTTAGTTTGAATAACGCCAGAATAAATTAAAAACTGATAATTTAAAACACAAGATGTATCAGTTTCTTTGTATTTGTTGTTACTGCTTATTTCAAGAGGCACAGTTATTCAATCACTTTCAGTACAACTAGTAGAGACGTCGTTGTTTATATTAATGATTATTTGATTTTCAAAAATGCAGTCAAAATTAATGTCTCTTTCAAAGCTATCCATAATAATTTGTTTTGTTTTTCTACCACTTTCCCCAATCATCTTTTGTGACGTGGGCACATGTTTCAACGAATATAGAAGAAACAGTTCAAAAAGTTAAAGCCGAGTCACAAAATAAGAACACATACACAAAATCACAAAATTACGCACAGTAAGCTCTCGAAACAGAAACTTTTTATTCAATATAGATTATGAATAATACTTAGTGAAAGTCACTACTTTCATTTACCATTGGTTCGCAAAAAAAACCTCTGTCCTGGGAAGAACCAGCAAGAAGCCTAACGGGACTAGTTTAAAAAAAAAGAGCTTACAATCATGCATGTTACAATTTACAACACAAAACAAATTAGAAATAGCTTGGTAGCGATCACCTTTCCTAAGGGTTATTATCATCCATAAATTCCTTAATATTAAAATAACCCTTTTTATACAAACTTAGTTTAAGTACATAAAGTTCAAAAAGAAGTTTTCGAATTTTGTGTACTTACGTCAAATATTGTACATTTTCTGGAATTTTGATGTAAAAGCGTATACATCGCCCCAAGAACGAATTACTGACTGTGGAGTCGAGTAACTGGTGCCGAAATGGCGGGATATTGAAATTATGTACCTAGTGGTTATCTTAGCACGGCCATGCCTACGAGTTTTTTTTGCCTACACAAATTTGCATAGCAACGTAAAAAAATTCAATTGTTTTATTCATGATTCATGATATTTAAGGAATTTTGAAAATAAAAATTAAATTAACAAATAATACATTAAAAAATTAATGATCATTTGAATATTTTGCCGATTATTCACATAACAATGAATTTTAATCATCCAAACACTACGGTAATATACATAGCGACATATCATTGAAACGACGTCATTGTAAAAAAATTAATACTGGTTATTTTTTAATATTTTTTTTGTAAAATTCAAATTTAAATTAGTGATAAAAAACTATACACGTTGTAATGAAATATAGATAACTTCATAATTCGTCGGATTTACGTAAAAGGTTATTTTAAATCGTGTGGGTACGCTTGTGCAAAATTATTGCGGAATGATCAATGTGAAACGTCAAAACGTATTTCTTAGATTTGGTTAACTATAGTTGTTGGCAGTAGAGATCCGAATCGATAGTTTTGCCCGGCAGTAAAAGCTCATAATAAGCGATGGCCTTCTAATCCCACCATAATCACAGCATCACCTTGTGTTGTTAATCAGAGTTTCGCTTGTCTGCGGAGCTTGACTAACCTTTGAACACGATATTTTCGCGCGTGCTTGTCGCCCACTCCACTTGTGGTCCACTCACTTTTTATCACCAGTGATCAATCTTTTCAAAAATGGTTCGGTTTCATTATGTTTCTATAGAGAACCGCAAATAAGTGCACGATTCATTAGGTTTCTTTCAGTGAGCTCATGTGGTACCCAAATATCGAGCTTTTTGTATAGCCAGACTTTTTCAAATGGGTTAAAAATGATTTGAGGTCAACCCTTAATTCCTCGGCTATATCGTACTACTATGCTGATCTAGTTCTACTTTTTCAAAAATGCCATCGACTTTATCTGTAAGAGAGCGAGAGAACTGCATCTTTGACAAAATTCCCAGACTGAAAATGTTTGAACCAACTTTGTGCTGCTCTTACTGACACTGCATTTAGTCCATAAACGTAAAAAAAACTCTTTCCTTTTGTAATAAAACTTCAGAATGTATCAAATTTCTTTGTTAGATTCACTCACTTTGGCTGACTGAGGAACAATTGCAAAATGGCGGGTAAGTGTTTTTTTTATTTTTGTTAATGTCCTATATGTATTGACAGACAGATTGAGAGAAGAGTGTGGTTTGCAAGATGATGTTGTGACCAGGAATAAGAAAGGAATGCTTCGGTGGTTTGGTCATATGGAAAGAATGAATAAGGAAAGTGACAAAGAAAATTTATGTTGCAGAATTGAATGGCAGAGTCGGAAAAGGACGTCCTAGGCGAAAATTTATCGACCAAATTAGAGATTTATTTAAAAAGGGCCAAATTAGGAGTACCCTTATTGGACGAGCATGTATGCGTAGGTACACGGATGTGATGGAAGCGAGAGAGGTGCGTCAGGATCGTGCCAAATGGAAGTCTGTAGTCTCTGCCTGCCCCTCTGGGTGACAGGCGTGAGTGTTATGTTTATGTATGTATTGACATTAAAACCAGCTAGATACAAACAGTACAACCAATAAGATTTTATATAAACAAAATACGAAGAAACTTTTTCCCTGACCTATTATAAACACTCATAAAACTAATTTTACAGATTTTATCAGAGTTACATTAGACCGGCAATTCAGAACAAAAACCATATTACAGGTTTAGATCGCACGGGCGCCGGCTGGCCGGGAAGCCGGCACGGTAAATATGCCACGTCGTTGTATTTTCATTTACGTTGTATTTTCATTTACGACAGTTAGTTTTTTTTACAGACTTACCTGAAATAAACTTTAAATCACGTTGACAAACTGAGCATATAAATAATGACAGCGTTTTTTAGTCACATTACACAAAATTAGTGTTAGATTGTCAAAAACAACTTACTCGGTTTACAAAACAAATAACCAGTTTTCTAACCCAGTCTTAGTCGACTAAAGGGGTTGCGGAGAATTGAACGTAACTTTGTATTAAGGCTGCAGAGCTTAACTAGTAGTATACATAGAACACTTTGGATTTTATCGAGTTTACCCTTACAGCCTATTAAAGTCTACTGCTGAACATTGGTCTCGCCTATAGATTGCCTAATAGGGGACTATTTGCCATAGTTGCCACGCTTGGCAACCAGTTTCTTTTAGTCATTATTAGGAAGACGCTGCTGCCCATCTCATCCCATCGTACGTCTTATATCCCAAGTTTATATCCACAAATTTTTAAGTTCGACATTTTCACTGTTTTACTGTATGTATTCACGGTCATGGAGAACTTGGGTGTTGAATGTGGTAATGTTATAGTTTATTCAGGCTGCCTTTAGCTTTATTAGTTTTTGGTCTGAATTGGATTAAATTTGTCTTGTGGCCGTAAAGCACGAGTGCTGATGAGTTCCTGGTTTCGAATCCCGAGATGGGCTAATTATCAGTTATTGTTGAAGTTAGCGGTGTTTCACCCCCGTGGCTCAGAGAGCATGTAAAGCCGTTGGTCTTGCATCTGGTCTCTCTCCAGTCCTGTCGGATTACCTTCCTATAGGACTATGACAGTGAGGGAATAGAGAGTGCATCTGTGCTTGCATATACACTCGGGCACTATTATCCTGTCCTGTGCAGTTGGCTAGTGTCCGTATAGAAACTGGCTGCTGTGAACGCACTGCAACGAAATTCGGTACAGGGTACATTATTCAAATAAGTTACAAGCTCTGAGTTATAATGTGGCGAACTCGGGATTGATATATGAATGCCATCAACAACTGAATGAGGTATGTAAGCACAACAATGTGACTCGTAGTATGTTTGGCTATGTTCGTTCACTGGTACATAGATACTTCAATAATTTACACGCTCAGCTTTGGAAAAAATTTTAGACTGTAGACAGGCTAGGGAGGCCCTGCAGTTGTCTAACCAAGGTTCTAATGAGACTTAACAAGCCACAGATCAGAACATGGCTCTTTTAACAAGCATTTGTTTACCATAGGTGTTACTTATAGCCCCCTGTGCAGGGTATGCATGGGAGGGGAAGAAACGGCGGCTCACGTGTTGTTGACATGTCCAGAGGTCGCTTCATACAGGGCTAAACATCTCGGCACGCCGGGATCGCTCCCCGAAGATGCTTGCAACGTCAAAGGACTGTTGAACTTCTTCAGGGAGATATAGCTCTAATAGTCACATTATTCCTGCCCACACGCAAAATACGCGCTTAGACGTGGTGTTGCGGAAAACAGCCCGTCGTAAACTAAACTAAACTATTCCAATAAATATAAGAAATCATAGCACTGACCGGCAGATGTAGCAGTCACTGCAGTCGCTGTTGTGGTAGTGGTCGGTGCGAAACTTAATGACGGCTTTCCGAACATTTGTGAGAAACCTGGAGTGCTCTGTGCAAAACCACTAGCCGAGGTTGTAGCTGGCGTCAGTGAGAAACTTGACTGGGCTGGTTGGGTCGCTGCTGTTGTCTAGAAATGATAAAAAATTAAAGTGAAACTAATATCAAAACTACTAAAACCTAATTTTAGTTAACTAATTAAAGCCTACTGTCCTATAGCCGGGCAGACCTATCATTTCTGGGAAGGTATATTAAATGCAAAGAGAATTCACCACAATGCAACATTAAGTGTTGGCAGACTTCACATGTTTACTTGTTACATTTTCCTTTACCCTTGAGCACATGATAAACTAACACTTGAATTTGCATTTGGCAATTTCATTGGTGCTGATGGGGTGTTCAAATAGATTTCGTAGCAACTATGCAATGATTTTGTTATTCATTTTATTAACATACTATAACTCAATTTTTTTTGTGCATTTAGGACCAAGTAAAGTCGTAGTAGACCAAGTAAGTTAGGGCAAATAACAGTTATAACATTTTTTTATGGGTTTGTCGATTATATCTTTCGAATAGCGGGCTTTTTATTCGTTTTATTCCGGTTTAAACCGCAAGATCTGATGGCATTGTAATGAGACCTGTGGGGTTAGCAAATTGAATGTACGTTAGAAAACAATAAAAATAAAAGAAGTTAATGTGACTGCCATGTTAAGTACTTAAGGTTGACATTTTCATCCTCTTAATTTCAATAGCTTTTTTATTAGCATTAGCGACTATAGAAAGTCAACTTAGCTAACTCATCAGTAGACCAGCATACAATCTTGATTATGTTGTGGTCAAAGTCCTGATGGTAAGTGGTTACTGTAGCCTATAAACACCAGTAATCAATTTTAAGCAACTTTACGGCATTTGGGGATTCGAAAAAAAGCTCCTACCAGCAAAAAGGGCTTTCGATACTCTTCAAACGTCACTACCATATATATTTATTACCTTGTTTAGTGTAAAGAACTGAAGACCCTTTTTACTGGTAAAGAATGTTTGAGGCAGACAACACATCTACATTTTTGAATCTTCATCTGTGTATATGGCCCAAATTATTAACTTACCATCAAGTGGATTGTGTGCTCATGACATGTTTCAATGCGAATTTCTTTTATTAACAGTATGGCTACAGCCCATTACAAGTTCAGCTTACCGATCTATTACACTGTACCCATTATATTGGTTCCACTGCAGATATCCTTGTTTTGGATTTTATCACAATTTTATTTATACACTGAAATATTAAACACCATGCCATCAAAAACATAACTTGTAAACAAAAACAAGTCTCGCAACTCAGTTATTCCGACTTAAAAAGTTGTGAGATCCATGTAATACCAAGTCGGTTAATTTATTCAGTCCCTACTTAAGGGTCCTTCTGTTTTAACTTATTACGTAATTAGCTAATATAACAACATTTTATAGTGACCATATCAATGTCATAAAATCTTATATGTTTTAAATATATAGATTGACTTGGCCATCGCAAGAAAACACAATGTAATTAGATTGTTTAGTGCGATTACCAAGTCAACCATAACAAAAAAAGTATATATATATATATACACAATATGTAACGTAATTAACGCACACCCTCAGACACCCCAAATAGTATATTATGGTATAGTCATAATACATACACTGAATTTTTAGTTAAACATTTTTATGCACTGATTATTTATCAAATTAGTTATACTAATTCCGGAAGAATGTTGTGGTCACAGTACAAATCCACGAACGCAAAGACTTTAACGTCATTGAAATAAAGTTCATTTTTCTTTATTTTTACTGAATGACAGAATTAGTAATAATACAAATAAAACTGCACTCTTAAAAGTCTTATTGCCTTAAGTTACGGTCCATTTCAGTTTGTTTTGACTGTACAGATTTAGTGTGACTGTAATTTACGTAGTTTTAATTATTTTTGGGATAAAAAATTACCTATATTAAAAATGATAGGAATCGATTCAGTAAACGATTCTGAACAAACTACTTTCTCAAAGTGCGTTAATTATGTTACATGTTGTATATATTATATACACAAGTACACAGATTCATTCACTGCAAATGTAACTTTGTAATTTGATATATTTATAAAGGATTACAAAGTTATTTATGCAGTTGGTATATCTAAAAAACTGGACCGAAATTAAAAAATATTTTAGTTTTTTCTTGATTTATACACTAAACACTAATTGTATTCTAAATTTAAAGCTTCTATGTCTGCTAGAAGTGCCTTAGAGTTTTGATGATTAGTCAGTGAGTGACAAAATTAAGAAACTGACTAGTTTTACTTCTTAAACTACTGGTTCAAATTGAATGAAACTTGAAATATACCATTTTTACAACGTCTACTCGGTTACTGAAAATTCAGGCTTCTATTTTTATCCTCTACGAAGTTATAGCGGGTCAAAAATGACCTGAATTGCTTCGAGAAAAGTATAGTACGGCCGTGCCGCTTGTTTGCTAGACTTGGCGGGGGCACTACCGTGCCCCCAGATAAATAAAATATTTCAAAATTTTTGAATCGAAAAATTATGAAATACAATAACATAATCTATAAAACGCATTATATTAAAAAAATTACTTACGGCAGTTGTTTGCGGCACCGAGAAACCAGAAGTAGGAGTTAATGTGAAACCAGTATTTGTGGCAGGTTTCGAGAAGCCAAAGCCAAAACCAGAAGCAGTTGGAGTTCCAAAAGAGGAGGCTGCTACAAACATAGAAATGTTTTTTAATCCTGGTATATTTATAGTATAATTATGGCACAAACTGAACAATAAATACATACATCAGTATTCCACTACTTGAAATATCTTGCAACTTTTTGATAATAATAATAGATATTTTTTCAAAGTTAGAAACTTCAGAGTCCAGACTAAATTTTGGCAGGATTCAAAATAACTTGTGGCATCAAAAAGCACACATATCAGGAAATTCACATCTTTACATTGTATTCATCGAACTTTGGTTCCTTCTTGCAAATCATGAAATTAAAGGCTGAAATATTAGTTTACCTTGGGTTGCAGGGGCTCCAAAAGCCGGTGTGGACTGTTGTTGTGTTGTGGATGTTTGACCAAAAGACAGGTTTTGTGGCGCATTCTGGAATAAACAAAAATATTCTTAATAAAAAATGTGATGCAATAAAAACAGATCGTTTACTAGGAGAGATTTCTTCAAATTTTGGTCATGCCAAAAGATCTATGTCCATTTCTGTCTCATATGTGGTTAGGACCACGCTGCAGCTATATTATGATTGTAGCACGAATGGGTCGGCTCAACTGGGGAAGGACCACGCTCTCACAGAATACCAGCGTGAAATAGTAGCTTAATGCTGCTGTATTTCGTGTGGTGAGTGTAGAGAACCGGAGACCCTTTTTACTGGAAACGAGGCATTCCATCTCAGTCCTCACGGGTGACAACGCATCTGCATTTTGATTTTTAATGGAGGATAGATGTAGATGTCTATGGGCCGCAGCAACCACTTACCATCAGGTGGACTGTGTGCTCGTTTGTCACCCTATTCTATATAAAAAAAACATCACGGGGACCGTGTGCTGTTATTATAAAGTTTGTAACATGATGAAATATAATCAAATATGCTTTACTTTTTAATAATTATTTTGAATTACTGGTAGGTCCACTCAAAGTTAACGACAACACTTCAAGAGATGTGAAGTCCTCCAACACGCTAATGCGTGGTTTTTGGGCAAGGAAGTATCCACCGTGCTGCCCATTAGGGTAGCGCCGTGGATACTCCCTTGCCCCAAAACCCTCTCAGAAATGGGAGGTGGCCCACGCCCAGTAGTGGGATGTATATAAGATGTAACTTCACTTTTAGTAACTATAGGTAGCATTGCCCATATGTATAACGAGCATGCTGATTAAATATTACCCCACCAAATGCTGTCCATTCAGGACAAAATAGTTATTTTTGGAGTAAATAATTCCTTTATTACTTTTTTGAAGTACTGAAAGGAATCATGTTAATTTTATTTTAAAAAGTTGTGTGTGATAAGTGCATTACCTGAGTGGCTGGTTGTCCAAACCCAGGGCTACCAACAGTTTGATTTGGAGGGGATGTGAAACCTCCAAATGATAGTGGCTTAGATGCTCCAAATGCTGAACTGGCGGTTGTTGTTGTCGGACTTGAAACTGTAATATTAAAGAAAATTAAAGAAATATTTTTATGACTAAAAAATAATCCTGCTGGGTTTCTTGCCGATTCTTCCGAGGCTAAGACATGTATCAATCATTCATTTCTAGTGACTGAAACATTCTGGTCCATTTAGTCAAGAGAAACAGTACATTCACATCGATCATTCAAATGGATCATTTCGGGCTCCAGTACTCAAGAGTCTGTGAGATCCATTGGAAACCGAAAATTTTCTATTTGACATTTGTAGTAGCACCATCTACTACATGCTATAGGTAATAAACTCATTATATCAAACTAAAACTTATTGACTTTCAAATTAAATCACTTGCCATGAAATCTTTTGAAGCGTTATTTTCAGTAATCTCTACGAAAAGATATTTTTAACTCATAGATGTAACAAATAAATATAATAATATTATGTAAAATATTTTTAATTTAGGTAACAATATAATAAAAAATCCTTAAATAATAAATAGACCTGATGCCCTGCATTTTGCATTGCTTATTCCATTTGCTTGTTTATTCAGATCATTCTGGATTCGGTCGGTTTTCGGCTCATTCGCAATTCACACCAATCACGAGTTAAAAAGGTGCATCATTTGTTTTCAAAAAAGAAAGAATGAACCATCAATACTTTTAAGTGTACCAGCTCAAATGAACGAATCATGCATGATTCGTTCATTTGAGCAGTGGTAAATAACATTAGACTTTCAATAAGTATTATATAATAATCTTTATAGAATAATAACAACTCATTTTATAAGTTTCTTTATTAGTGCAAAGTAAATATAATCAATATTGTTACAAGTGTTTCTAGGCGACAAATAAAGGAAATTCTATAGAAAATTTTTGCTAACAGAAAACCTATTACTGATGGTGATTGAGTTTTAAAACAAGAAAGGCTACTTACAAAGCCCTGAACTAGATGCTGTAGTTTTTGGACTGAATGCGAAACTGCCAAATGCAGGTGCGCTTGTTGTGGGAGTACTGAAGAAACTCACTTTGTTATCTGGAAAAAATAATTATTAGCAATATAAATAATTTTTAAAATAGACAGATTGTAATCTATTATGAAACATGCTTTTGTTTCTTTTTAATAAGATTATTAATAAGATTTTTTGAAAAACAAAAATCGGAATTTGGTGTTGGGAGTAGTGGTGCTGGGACTAGTGGTGACGGAGGTAGTGCGCAATTGAGGGAGGGCGGGAGGTGCTATTCAATCCAGGTAAGACACATCATTGTATTTAGCTAGCGGAAGGTTGCGAAGTAATTTATATTTTTATTATAATGGATTTCCGCAAAGTAACACCTGATCCTAGTTAGTTAGTTTTTTACGACGGGTTGTTTTCCGCAACTCCATGTCTAAGCGCGTATTTTGCGTGTGGGCAGGAATATGTGGTTATTCGAGCCATGATATTTCCCCGAAGAAGTTCAACAGTCCTTTAATGTTGCAAGCAACTTCGGCGGCAACAACTCCGTATGAAGCGACTTCTGGACATGTCAGCAACACGTGAGCCGCCGTTTCTTCCTCTCCCATGCATGCCCTGCATAGGGGGCTATCAGTAAAACCTACGGTGAACAAATGTTTGTTAAAAGAGCCATGTCCTGTAATAGAACTTGTTACTATCCTGATCTGTGGCTTGTTCAGTCTCATTAGAACCTTGGTTAGACTTTATTTCAGGCAGGGCCTCCCTAGCTTGTCTACAGTCAACTAAATTTTTCCAAAGCTGAGCGTGTAAATTACGTACCAGTGAATGAATGTAGCCAAAGGGGATCAGTATTATTGGTTTCAGCCCTGCAGTTGCCAGAGCTGATCCCCTTCTGGCCAGTTCATCTGCTGCATCTTTGCCTCTAGATCCACTGTGTCCCTTGATCTATTGCAGTCACATTGTTGTGCTTACATACCTCATTCAATTGTTGATGGCATTCGTATATCAGTCCCGAGTTCGTCACTCAGAGTAGACTCAGTAACTCAGAGCTTGTATAACGCCATACTGTCGGTCAGTATTCTGATGGAGAAGCCTTTCACCTTCCTAGCATCTATTGCTATAGCCGCTTGGATGATACCCATGCATTCAACCTGGAAGACTGTGTTGTGGGTACCCAGCAGTGTGCATATGTGGATATTAAGGTCTTCAGAGAAAGCCCCAGACCCCACACCTTCATTTGTCTTAGAACCATCCGTGAAAACTTTGAGCTCTCTTTGACCCAATCCTTCCAGATGGTCAGTTTCCTTCAATTGTATCCTGTACTTGTTATCAAATACTAATTGTTTTGGGATCCTATCATACTTGGCTAGTAAGATAGGAATTTTTGAGTAAATTTTATCAATTATATCTGTATGGGGGACTCTACTCTTACTTAAAATATTTAGGGTCTTGAGTCTAATGGCAGCTAAAGTTGCGTCTTGTTGTATATGTAGATGAAGCGGTGTTAACTCCAGCATAGCCTCCAAAGCTGCTGTTGGTGTAGTCCTTATGCAGCCATATAAGCCAACCTCTGGTAACACTGAAGCTTTCGTATAGTGGTGGCTTCAGTGGTTTTGGTCCATCATACCAGAGAACCATATGTGATTCTATGAATCCTGATTCTATCAATTATGTACTTCATTGTGTTATTCTTAGTGAAAATAGATAATTATATGATAAAAATAGTGGCAGGAGTTCTACTATTTGGACTTATTTTAGAGAAACTGATGACCAAAGGAAAGTGAAATGTACTAATGTAATGTTTCTTTGTTTGATTCCAAATACATTTTATCAAGCTTTCTATTTGCTATAATTGGAAATAAATCTAGTGCCTCAAAAACATAACATTATACAAGTAGATTTAACCCATATATGAAATATACTTTCAACAGTAAAATTATGAAAGACATAGGTGAACCATTACTCAATTCATACATACATTTTTAACTCAATTCATACAAGTATGAGCATTAACCGCTAAAAAGAACCCATTTGTCGTATCTCATCAGTTCCAAGGCACTCCCCTTGTTGCCTCAGTCAGTATTGGATTGTATCCTCGGCATCGATATGTTGAGTGACATTCAGTTTCGTGGTCACATGGAAGAGAAGGCCAAATTGGGCTTTAAAAAGCTTGGCATGCTCAGCAGAGCAGGACAGTATTTTAAACCGGCTCACTGCCTGCAACTTTACAAGGCGCAGGTTCGGCCGCACATGGAATACTATTCCCATCTCTGGGCTGGGACTCCCCAGTGCCACCTTCTTCCACTTAACCGCATCCAGCGCAGAGTGGCTCGAATCGTCAACGACCGAATGCTTTCCGATTGGCTTGATTCACCGGTGCTGTGAAGATGTTGCATCTTAGTATTTTCTTTCGCATATACCAAGAGGAGTGCTCTGAGGAATTGTTCAGATTAATCTCAGCCGCCAATTTTCATGAACGCACTATACGGCAAACTTCCCAATACCATCAACACCATCTGGATGCTTGGTACCACTGTACGTTTCACTAGTTTTCTTCTGTGTACGACCTCTCTGTGGAATAGTTTAAAACTGGCGATTTTTCCGGACCGATACAACCTAGGGACCTTCAAGAAAAGAGCTTAATCCTTTCTAAAGGGCCGGCAACGCACCTGCAATTCCCCTGGTGTTGCAGTTGTTCATGGGCGGGGATAGTCACTTAACATCAGGTGAACCATATGCTTGTTTGCGACCTCTTCTATAAAAAAAATACATTTGAATACAGTGAACAATTTGAGTGCCACTAATATTCAGTGATTTATCCGAATATTTGGTAAAGCTGCCTAATATTGGCATATCATAGACAGTCTTAAAGGTATTAACAAATATCATAACCTTCCTCTAGCTGCAGATTGGTAAAAAGATATGCATTTCATGCCTTTCTATGTAAAACCACCGGTACTAAAAACACAAGTTATGGAAAAATATATATGTATAAAAGTATGTTCAACAGGTTATCTATATAAGAATAAGATAATGTTTGGAACTCACCGGTTCCAGGACTTTGAAAAGGTTTGGAATCACCCGCTCCGAATAAATTCCCTGAAAATTTAATACACAATATGTCTTGTATTTAAAATGTTGTGTCATAACCTATTAAAAAGAAAGAAAAATTAAATTAATTTATAAATATAACCACAACAAAACGAATGAAATTACTTTCGAAAACTTAAACCGAAATCAATAGAAAACATTTTTTTTACCCCCTGATAAAGTATTGGTGCCAAAAGTGGTCCCGGTTGTGGTAGTGGTTGACTGGCCAAATGTAAAACTCATGATCTTTAGTAATAGTAGAACTGAAATTTGCCTATTTTATTCAATTGAATAACTAAAAAATTCTATGTTCGTTTATTTTAATTTGTAGAATATATTTATTACCGCCGAAATTTTACACAACTTTGGCAATTGCTAACGTCAAAACTAGTCAAAACGTCAAATCAAATCTCTACTTTTATTAACTGGCTTTACTGCTCTGGGTTCTAGCCCTTCTGAGCCCATCAAATCTCAAATCAAAGCAATTAGCAAATAATATATTATAGTTTTCTTGTTTTAAACAATGTACTCTTTGAGTATATTATATATTCAAAGTATAAACTTCAAAGTCAAATTCAATTTAAGTTTTTGGCTTGGATGCTTGGTTTTTAAGCCATGTCGTCATTTCATTCGAGATCTTCATATTTGTAAATTTTTTCTCACAATATGCTGATGCATCACATTACGAAGTTTTTGGGAGATTTAGACGACAGCTCAATCCAGCGAAAAGTCGATGACGACAGTCACGCATGTTTATTAGGCGCCTAAGCAATCAAAATAACTTGAGGTTTGTATCAATATCGAAGCACTTGTTTCGTCATTTTCTTTAATAGTTCACATGCGCAGAAACTTAACTACATAAAATTGCATCACTTTTACGTATGAAAATTCAGTTAAAACGACTTTTTTAAACGTTAATATAGGAGCAACAATTCGTGGTCGGTCAAGTTCCCGACAAAACCCCCGTTCAAATTCAAAATTCGAATATCATTTATCTTGTTCGTAACTATGTCTGTATCTATTTCGCACAAAAAAAAAACTTAACAACATGCTAAATGCTAATGCTAATACGTTATATTGTAAAGTTCATAAATATAGGTCAGTTTATAAGAAATCCATATTGAAGTTATTGGGAAATTTTGAAGACACGTTAACTAAGCGTTAGTTTAAGACGTATCTCAAGCTGACCAGGTCCATAAAAAGGAACTTGAGATTTATATAAAAAGATATGATAAAATTGTTTTAATTTCACACAAACATTTAATACACAAAATTCCTAAATATCAAAATCAAATCCACTTCATATCACATAGAAATATCTAGATAAATAATAGATTTCATAAAGGGTCGCTCGACAAGTGACGCTGGTGTTGAGTTGTTTAAATGTATCTTCAATGCATGGGAGAATTTACAAGATGCTTTGGATATATTCTGTGATCTATCCAAGACCTTCGATTGTGTTCACCATGAAATATTAATAAGGAAATGAAGCTCTTAAATTAATTATTTCATACTTAAGTTACAGAACGCAAAAAGTCGTCAATAATAGTATAAGTTCTTCCGAGTCGATAGTACAAAATGGGTGTGTCTCAAGGCTCAATTCTCGCCCCTTTCTGTTCCATGTATATATATCAATGACTCACTTTACATACTAGGGGGTTATTTTAATAATTTTCAAATTAAAACGACAAATACTAAAACATGACCAAGTAAATAATACTATATCTAAACTAAATTGGTTTAACGTCATTAATTTGAATTTAAATGGCATTAAAAGTAAATTTTATGAAAGGAGATGAAATTGATTTCATACATGTTTGGGCCCGGCGTGAACAAAGTTAATATATGTCTCATTTTGAAGATTTAAATATTTGATAAGTATATCAATAAATCATATTCTTACAGAACCTGAGGTTTTATTTTAATTTATGTTTTATGTTTTGTAGGTTATGTAATTGTTGTTTAAATAAATTACAGCCATAAACAAAATGCAGAAAAATATTTAAAAACGTAGTGGTTTTGATAGAAACTTGACCATCAACGGATTGTTGCTCCTGTTTTATAGTTTAAATAATGGCTTGAAATGGATTTAGATGAAAGTGATGCAATTTTGTGCATTAAGTGTCTGCGCACGTGACTGGTTAGAGAAAACTACGAAACAAGTGTTTGACGTAGATATAAGCCTTAAGTTTTTTTTGATCGCTTAGGCGTCTTATGAACTTGAGTGGCTGTCGTCATCGACTGTCCGTTCGTTGAGTTGTTGTCTCCCAAAAACTTCACATGGTGACGCATCTGTATATTGTGAAGAAAAAATCCATAAAAACGAAGATCCTGAATGAAATGAAGACATGGCTTAAATGACAAGCGTCCAGGCCAAAATTCTTAATTAAAAAAGTTAAAACGTTTCGTTCTTGCTATAGTAAAATTATAAGCTTTCGTTTTTCAGTTTCAAAAAGGTTTTTATGATTGTCCCAAGGACAACAGAAATAAAAACCATTTAATTATGCATATAATTTATCGTTTTATTGTCTACATATTTTTGTATAAATGTTCAGAACGATGCCAAGCACCCCATTTCGTTCATTTCCTTTATATATGTCAAACATCTAAATACCAATGTAATTATAAATGGGAAGGAGCTGAATCTTGTCGATACCACAATTTTTCTTGCAATCACACTAATCGTGAAGCTTTAATGGGGCCGTTATATATCAAATCTGGCAATTAGACTTAGTTCTGCAGCATATGCTGTAAAAAAGATTAGAAATCTTACCAGTGTGGAAACAGCTAGACTAGTTTACTTTAGTTATTTCCATAGCATAATGTAGTATGGTATTTTTCTATGGGGACACGTGCCTGACACTAAAATTATATTTGTTTTATAAAAGGGGGCCATAAGTGCAATCTATGATTTCAAACCTAAAGAGTCGCTCAGACGATTTAAGGAAATTAATAAATTATTAACTTTAGCCTCTGAATACATTTATGAAAATATTATGTACGTACACAAACATAAAAGTAGTTTTACAAACATAAGTAATATTTATTCTCTAAATACTAGGAGCATACACAAGCTAGTACTAGATACCAGTTACTCTATTCTACCGATTTAATAATTCTTGAAGCGATGTACATACGCTTTTACAACAAAATCACAGAAAACATACAAAAGTTGACTTGCTCAAAGATTAAAAAGTTTATTAAACTCAGTTCGTATATAAAGGGTTATTATAATAATCGTATTATGGAATTTATAGATAATAAAACCCCTGGGAATTTTCTCTAATTTGTTTTGTGTTGTTAGTTATGAAAAATACAAGATTGTAAGCTGTTATTTAAAAAATAAGTCCTGCAGGGATTTTTGCTGGCTATTTTATGGACCGAGGTTTTTTCCCGAACCATAATAAGTATTATTTATAATCTATATTGGTTAAAATAGTTTAAAAAAAGTAGATACAGCACGGCCTTTGTTATGGGCGAAGCCAAAAACTCAGCTCATTTATGTAAACACACGCGTTCATGCACACACATGCATCAAACTGCGCTCATTTTCGTCAGTACGTCCCGGGGCGTCGTGCAGTAAATTTGCCTACAAAATGCTGTCCTGTGTAATTAAGTGGTGCAAAAATAATACTAAAGTGAACAAAAAGGCTGAAGCAATATCGTTTCACACGTAAACACTCATTTACCTATATTTTATTTTGTTATTACAATACAGAAGGTACGAAGCACGAAAAACCAAATTGAATTCAAGGTAAATATTTAATTTTTTTAACTCGCTGGCTAACAAACTATTTTATTATAAAAAAATATTTATGAATATAGGTTTCCAATGAATATTTCAATAAGGCATTAATGAAGGATAGCTGCTATAAGACTGAGCTGAAATGAACCAAAATGGAAGCCATCCTTTTGACTTGACAGCCTTAGAGCCACGCAGCAGCTCTTACAGCCTCTGGGTTTTGCTTGGTAAGTGCAGATGGCTGGAGGTCCAATCCCTCCCCCCCCTTAACATTGTAGTGGAATCAAATATCAAATAAAAACTACCCCAAGAGGGTATCAGCACCCTTGGTGGCTGAGAATCCCTCGCTGAGCATCCACTACCATACTATCTTACTCTTCCTGAGCGTGAGTGCTTAGGCTGCCCCGCGTTTCTGGGAGGGGGGGGGGGTGAAATTCTGCTCGCGACTAAGACTGTTTGAATAAGATTTGAATGCAATTGAGTGCTCTTCAAACTAGGGAAGACACATCATCATTTTATATATATATATATATATATATATATATATATATATATATATATATATATATATATATATATATATATATATATATAAGGTAACTATTAATATCTTTATTATAATGGATTTCCGCAAAGTAACGCCTGATTCTATCAATTAAAATATACTTTTTTCATCTAGAAAAGTATATTTATAATTTTATTGATATTTATTTTTTATTCGATCTACTTTTTTAAGATTTGTTTAGTATTATTTTTTAGAATAAACATGTTTTACATTCCATATGTTGTATTTTTTCTCGATGCTTACACGCTCACTAGACGATCTACGCAGAAGACTTTGACGCCTCCTACATTCATCACAGTGGCGAAGCTAGAGCTCCAAGCTAGGGCAAGCCCAAGATATAAATTGATAAAAATATAGATTGTTGTTTTTAGCAGTTTTATAAAAATACACCAATCTTGATCTGTCTCCACGCTTCAGTTTCATATTCAGTGCCGTCAAGGACGTGTTTAACAAAGCACACAGAAGGCATACCACTGCTAGATAGATTGTATTACATATCAGCAATTGCATAGCTTCGGTGGCTTTGAAAAAAGGCGTTTGGGTTCGTTTAAGCGAAAGAAAAAAAATATTTACATCCAATACAATACATGAACAAAAGTAAAACACGAACAAAGTACAAACAAACTATGTACAAAATTAAAAAAAAAAAACAAATTATTTACATTCTAATGGATAAGAGATAAGATAAGATAAGTGGAATCGTCTCGCTTTCTTATGGAAAGATTTAATTACGTCCACGTAAAACGTTGGTGAACGTTTTAATTGTACCAATAACTGTTTTTAATTGCGATAATTGATGTCTGAAATACACTCTTAACCTTGTGTATTATCTCAACAAAGTTTAAAGATTTCCTCTCCGATTATCACTTTAACACACTTCAATTCATCACAAGGAACACTATTATCCTCCATTTTCATTAAAAATCTTTAAAAAAG